TTCTCTTTTGTCTTTCCAGCTTTAAAGCTTCCAGCCGTTTTATCTCTGCCTCTTCCTGAAAACAGTTAAAACAACTAAGTACGCCAAAAATAGAGGTATTTGATAGCCCACATAGACTACATAATAAAATAAAAGAGAGAAAAGAGATCCCATAACTTTTGTGATGAAACTGGCAAACGAGCAGGATATGTATATCTTGACAAAGAACACTAAATGACTTTACAATTAACATTGAAAGCTCCCAATATGGAGATATAAGCAGAGTACCTTCTCTTTTTTCATTTTCTGAAGGTCAGCTTTATAGGTTCTTAGCCTCTCGGCTCGAGCTCTTGCTTCATCCAAAGGACTCAATTTTGAAGGTTTGCCCTTCCTTATTGGTCCTACAGTCTTCTTATCAGGAACTGTTTTCAACTTCCGGTCCTTGTCTGACTTTTTAAGCCCGTGCTTGTCAGTCATCACCTCCTTATTTTTCTTATTCAGTGAAGCACCATCTTTGGCATGAGCCTCAATTTCATATTCTAAAGCTGGGTCATAACCAATTGACCCCCTTTCTGTTCCACGCTCAGGCAACATACCTAAATCATCTGGTTCATAGTTGACCAGGCTTCCACCCCTATTTGACACATTTTCTACCTTCTGAAGTGATGATGGGAATTCAGAATCCATGTCAATAGCGTCTCGGTCACCAGTTCCAACTTCAGCCACTGAAGTTGACCTAAATGGAACTATGTAGGAATCATCTTCACCATTTTGTGATGGTCTTCCTTCCAAACTGTTGCTTGAATGTTCAAATCCATTTACAGCCAGGGGATCAGATGCAGAATGAGTAAAACCTGGCAGATTTTCTCGCCTATTAACCATAAAATCATCATTTTCTGTCCTCCTATATCCCCTCCTGCCATCTATTTCAGTAGAGTGCAAATCCATTTGACCATCAATGAAAGCCCTGCCATCGGCAGAATGGCCACCTCTTTGAGAAATCAATAATTGATCATTTGATGCCTTAGGCATGCGGGTCATGTTTCCACTGACTTTACGTATATCAGTGCTATTACCTTCTTCAAACTGACCTTTTTGTCTTCTATCAAACACTAAAGGGTCTTCACCCAGTGCATTTGGTCTTCGTTTTACCCGAACATCCTTTTCCATTGCAAATATGCCTGGTTTACTCCCATCCTCTTCTTCAGTATCTCTCAGTAAATAGTTCTGAAATGCTTGCCATTGTCCACCATCTGCCTCCTTCCGAGGAAATGTTTCATCCTTATCAGATGAATTCAGTTTATCCAGAGATCTTGTCTGACTTCCTTTACCTTTTGAGGATCTTGAAGAGTTCCTGTGTTTCATCCTTGGAGAAGTGGCTTCTAAATCTTGATTTTCATCATCAGTTTCAGTGCCAGCAGCAGACTCTGAATCACTATCTGAGGAATTTTGCCCCTTCGAAGAGATGTAATTGATGTTCCGAATAACCACCATGCCAGCTTTCTTCTTACCTGATTGGCTACCACTTTTTCGTGTTTCTCCACTTTGTGAAGTTTCATTATCCAATTCCTCATCACCAGTATGGCTATCTCTACTGTCCATCGAATGCCGTTTCTGTCTCATTCTTTGACCAGGGTTGAACCTAGGATCATCCATTGATGTATAAGGCTGTTGAAAAAATGGACCATTACCAGGATAAGTTTGGTAGTATGGCATGCCTTGCATGGGATAACCTTGAAAAGCAGGTAGGGAGCCTGGTGGAGACTGCATGGGCCAGGGAGGGAACATTGGATGAGGAAACTGGCTCTGAAAATATTCTTGATGACCAGGAAGTTGGTGATCCATGAGGGGCTTTTCATCTGGCAATATTAGTAAAAATTTTATTTCAAACCATGATCATTGAGAAGAAGATAAAAGGCATAAGTAAAACTA